CCGACACCAGAAAAACCTCAAACCCAAAGAAGCTTAATGATGTTCGCTGCTCTGTTTTATAATAACAAGACTTTTGAAAAACGGATATAAATTGAAAGAATATAAACAACGGAATTAAAAAAGCAAGAAAAAATGATAGGTCCGTGTCCTTGTTTTAAGATAAGATCCATTGAAAATTTCGCAGGAAATGATTCTCTCTAGGTATTTCATACATGTAACATAAGAACCGTTTTCTCTATAAAAAATACTATGAAAAAATAACAAGGATTTTATAGGATTTTATAGGATTTTATAGGATTTTATAGGATTTTCAAAAATGGTTTTATAAATTATATGTAATAGAATAAGGAAAAGAAAAGTAGGGTTAACGGGCTATTTGTTTTAATGACACTGCATGAATAAAACCACATGATTCTAAATATCTGACAAAAAGTGAAAAACAAGAGCAGCGAAATCCTTAACAACACTAAAAGAGAGAAATTATAACTATTTTACACGGGAACTTATTGGTCATAGTTAACAAAGGACTTTGCCCTATCAATTTAGATGCGAAATACTTTTGCTAAAAAAAATGAAAGTAGAAAAAATAAAGAAAATGACATTGTTAAACGTTGTTAACGCGTGAAAATCATACAATCATGTTTTGGAGTTTAGTGTGACGTCCATTTTCACTGAACTAGTACACAATTTTATTTAGGGGCCAGCTGAGGACCACCTCCGGGTGCGGGATTTTCTCGCTGCGTTGAAGACCCATTGGGGGCCTTCGGCTGTTGTCTGCTCTTTGGTCGTGTTGTTGTTTCTTTGACATATTCCCCATTTCCATTTTCAGTTTTAATATATACTTCAAAGATTATAGAAGTGAATGAAATATGAAAGCGAGGAACTTATTTTTGAATTCAGTAAGAATATTTCTTTGAAATGGTCGTTTTCGCATTTGTCAGAACTGGAAAAGTTGTATTCATCTATTTAACAAAAAATATGATTTACCGAAACAAGCAAATCTGTTTTTTTAACGTATCTAAGTAATATCACGACAAATAATTATCTGATATAAAATTGACTCAAACAATTAACGGTCTGGGGTAAACTGTCACTTAAAATCTACGCTCTTTATTGTATGTGCACGTTCGGAAGACGCGCAATACCATATAGACAATGATCATGCTAAAGAAGACTCAGCAGAACGTTTTTACATACGATACCATTCATATCGAATTAAAGGTATACGTCTAATATGTTCAAGATTGATAAATTGAGCGACTTTACTTAATGTCCAGTGACAAATATTTCGTGCATATTAGGGACGAAAATAAATTAACAATTGATCCGATAAGTAAGTTCTGCAATGGAGGTAGACTGGGACTAAAAGCGAAAAAAAACAGCCACTGGAAACCGATTATATTGGATAGGAGCAGATATTAACATAGCAACAGGCCCTCTATGGACCCTAAAGCGTTTTGCTATGGTATTCTCCAGACAGGAGGCATCGGCTTTAACGTTCAAAATCCGAACCTCTATGACTGCGTATTTATACATCCCGCACAATCAAGTGAACGGCCCTCGTCAGCATAGATTTTACTGTTGTATGGGAGAAGGTGGTCATATTTCTTTACCCCCGGTCGAACCATTGGATTAAACATATAGTACAGTAAGTGTTATTTGATGCTGATGATGGGCGACTGTTTAACGTTCAGCGGTCAAATAAATACATATTCAAGACGATAGCATGTTAATGTAATATGAATATTAACATGCTTTGTACTAGATCGAGACGCTAGGTCGGATTTTTAACGTGCTAGTTCACAAGATAACAATCCGCAGTAAGACATGTCTCCCTACCCGAACACATTATTCTGACTCCGAGCCGATCAGTCTTTTCTCTTACTCCATAATGCCGCGTGCTAAGCGGAGAAGCAGCAAATACCAATTTTTAAAAGTCTTTGGTTTGACCCGGCCAGGGTTTGGAACACACGACCTCCCCGCACTCGAGATTAAGTGTTGGAAGAATGCAAAATGATAATTATGACTCTGGAGGTTTTCATTCAGGTTCTCAAGTTTGTCAACTTATCAAATCATCGGTAACTTCAACACGGATTCACAATAAATCTATTTAAATGTCGCGACTTCGCCAATCATCCCCAATTTACCACTTGCAGTGAAATAATTCATAGAATGCGACCATAAGTCGAAGTACACCATTGGCCAAAAGAATACAAGGAGGCGATACCAAAGGGCAACCAACCATAGGTAGAAGAACACCATAGCGAAAAGAATACAAGGTGGCAATACCAAAGGGGCAACCAACCATAGATAGAAAAACACCATAGCCAAAAGAATACAAGGTGGCAATACCAAAGGGGCAATCAACCATAAGTCGAAGAACACCAAAGCCAAAAGAATACAAGGAGGCGATACAAAAGGGGCAATCAACCATAAGACGAAGCACACCATAGCCAAAAGAATACAAAGAGGCGATACTAAAGGGGCAATCAACCATAAGCCGAAGAACACCATAGCCAAAAGCATACAAGGAGGCGATACTAAAGGGGCAATCAACCATAAGTCGAAGAACACCATAGCCAAAAGAATACAAGGAGGCGATACCAAAGGGGCAATCAACCATATATAGAAGAACACCATAGACAAAAGATTACCAGGAGGCGATACCAAAGGGGAAATCAACCATAGATAGAAGAACACCATAGCCAAAAGAATACAAGGAGGCGATACCAAAGGGGCAATCAACCATAAGTCGAAGAACACCATAGCCAAAAGAATACAAGGAGGCGATACAAAAGGGACAATCAACCATAGGTATAAGAACTTCATGGTTAAAAGAAAAAGGTGGAATATGCAAAGGGAGCAATCAACCATAAGTCGAATAACACCATAGCCAAAAGAATACAAGGAGGCGATACCAAAGGGAAAGTTAACTATAGATAGAAGAACACCATAACCAAAAGATTACCAGGAGGCGAACCAAAGGGGCAATCAACTATAAGTCGAAGAACACCATAGCCAAAAGAATACAAGGTGGCAATACCAAAGGGGGAATCAACCATAAGTCGAAGAAAACCATAACCAAAAGAATACAAGGAGGCGATACTAAAGGGGCAATCAACTATAAGTCGAAGAACACCATAGCCAAAAGAATACAATTAGGTGATACCAAAGGGACAATCAACCATAAATCGAAGAACACCATAGCCAAAAGAATACAAGGAGGCGATACCAAAGGGGCAATTAACCATAGGTAGAAGAACACCATAGCAAAAAGAATACAGGCGATACCAAAGGGGAAATCAACCATAAGTCGAAGAACACCATAACCAAAAGTATACAAGGAGGCGATACCAAGGGAACAATCAACCATAGGTATAAGAACTTCATGGTTAAAAGAAAAAGGGAGAATATGCAAAGGGAGCAATCAACCATAAGTCGAAGAACACCATAGCCTAAAGAAAAAGACGAATATACAAACAACAGTAAAAAATAATTCACAGAAACCAATATAATGAGCAAAACGAACCCAACCAAAATCTAGTGTGAACGCATGTGCACTGGAATAGGCGGCAGGTTGAAAAGTTTAAAGTTTACAACTCCTTTATTTCTAACAATAGGGATTTCAGTCTTTGTTAAGGATTTTCTTCTAAATCGTCCCATCAGCTTGCTAAAAAATAAATGGCAAATTGCTGATTCATGCATGCATAATGTAAATTCTTAGAACGTTAGCTCCAAACATTGTAAGTGTCGTGTTAATTGCATACAACGAGAATAAATTTCCATACACTATGACACATGATAGTTCAATGCCATCGTCTGAGGAAATGATTTGTTACTAATGAAAACATCATTCACGACAGGCCAATATTTATATACAGAAAATAATGTATGTTGCCATACAAACTATTATATAAAAGGGGATGTTGGTATATTCAATAGAACAATATCGAAATATTTTAATAATCAATACACTCATTAAGAACGGGTTAAGTTATAACAAAAAGTAATACATCAAAGCTAAAAACTTCAAATTGAGTAAACCTGATGAACCGTAGAGTTAAATGATACTTGCTTCTCACTGTCATTAAACAAACGAGAAACAAAGTCAATATTGTCGCAACCAATAGTCTACAATTGAAATATTTCATTCGAATCAAACCAAATTTGAAACATGAAAACTTTCAAAAATGTATGGCTTTCACTTGCTCTTTTCTCGTAAACGTGCAGAAGAAAACACACGAAAGAGGGGTTTCCCGCCTAATTTCGATGAGTTACAATCATCACTGATTTCCTTTGTTCGACTGGACCTACTATCACAATGTATCATCATATTTGTTTTTTTCAATAGCTTTTTTTACTAACATATATAAGTAAGGTTTTCCATTAATTTTATAACAAATTGAATTATATCGAAACAGAATACATTCTTGTCTACATTACACGGGCATGATAAGACATAAAATAGAATATAGCAAAAAATCTTCTTTCTGTTTTCGGCGTGCTTGATCTTTGGACAATGGTAATGTACGTTACTCAGTTCAATACAAGTTAACATGTGGGGGGACGAAGTTTGTTTTTACAACAGAAAATCAGGTTTTTATTCTCCATCAATGGCATTACATAAGATTCATAAATTATTAGTACAGAAAAAGTACATAAAATCTATAAAATCGGTATAAAAGAAACAAAAATAATAACAAAAACCCAACAATTATAACCAATACAGAGTAACAAAGAATGCTCTAAGTTAATAAAGGCTAATAAAATAATACTTTACCCACTGAATGTAATATGCTGCCCTACACTGCTATCTATTTATTTAAGACACACGAAAGTCTTGATGGTCTTAATTCTCGATCATGCAAGATTTATGTTGACAGTAGTGATATCAACAACCTTTAAAAATGTTATGATGGCAAGTCCGGAAATATTCTAGATAGAGTTTGTAAATTTTGTACTTTTCAAGAATCTAACAGATGTTTATTTATATTTTTCAGCTGTCCTAGTAAATGGGTTAAGTGGATCAGCGCCTGAAAACGGGCCAAGATATGTGTTTTCCGGTGGTGCTACATCTCGTAATAAGCCGCAGACTGCTGGAGTCAAATTTTCTGCTATAAGAGTTAACGACAATAATCAGAGGTTCACTATAAAACAAGGGAAATCTATACCACGACTTAACCGACCTCAACCAGTAGCAGCCAATTTTTACCAGCCAGCTCCAAGAGTTCTTCCATCAAATCAAAGGACACGTCCTCAACTTTCACCTCCTTACAAGCCTGGACCCCCTGTGCCAGCTTCAAATAGGCCCGGACCTCCTATGCCAGCCTCAAATAGGCCTAGACCACCACTGGTAGCTTCAAATATGCCTGGACCTTCTATTCCAGCTTTAAATAGGCCTCGACCCCCTCTCCTAGCTTCAAATATGCCTGGACCACCACTGACAACATCAAACAGTCCTGGACCTCCTCTACCAGCTTCAAATAGGCCTGGATCTCCTCCTCCAGCATTAAATAAACCAGGACCCCCTCTACCGGCTTCAAATAGACCAGGACCCCCTCTACCGGCTTTAAATAGACCTGGACCTCCTCTACCAGTTTCAAATAAGCCCGGACCACCACTGGCAGCTTCAAATAGACCTGGAACTCCAATGCCAGCTTCATATAGGCCTGGATCTCCTCCTCAAGCATTAAATAGGCCAGGGCCTTCTCTACCGGCTTCAAATAAGCCAGCCCCTCCTTCACGACCACATGTAATACCTCCAGTTGCAGCAAGTCGACCTAGTCTATCAAATGCCCCTTATAAACCTTTGACACCTCCAAACGGTGCTACTGCAATTAGGCATAGATCTCAGATGTCTTTTTCCGGACTAAACCAAGGCCAAGCAGGAGTGACTTTTTCGGGACAATCATTCTATGAACCCAATGCAAGGCCAACCTTTTCAAGTAGTAGGGGAATAGCTGCAGGCGCAAGAACAGTAGGAAGCGTGGGACGTCCAGTTCCAGGTTTTACGCCGGTAGTTTCTGCTGTAGGAGTACCAGGGACAGCACCAGGTGCCGCACAATTAGCAAGAAAAGCAACAGGAGTGACCCGTGTTGGACGACCAGCATCTGAAACAGTACCAGGGGCCAGTGCTGGAACAAATTCGGGTTCAGCATCTGGTTTAGTACGATCTGGAAGACCTGGAGCAGTGCCTGTTGCGTCAGATTTTATTTATAGGCCAGTACAGGCTACACGCGTAGGAACGACACTTGTAAATAAACCAGGTTCAAGGGCACCTTTTAAAGGACTTGCACCAGCAGCACCCGTTGGGGGACCAGCACCAGTGATACCTGTTGGAGGATTAGCACCAGTGGCACCCCTGGGAGGACCAGCACCAGTGGCACCTGTTGGAGGACCAGCACCAGTGGCATCTGTTGGAGGACCAGCACCAGTGGCACCCGTTAGAGGAGCAGCACCAATGGCACCCGTAGGAGCACCAGCATCAATGGCACCTGTCAGAGGATCAGCACCAGCGTCACCCCTGGGAAGACCAGCACCAATGGCACCTGTCGGAGGACCAGCACCAATGTCATCCGTTGGAGGACCAGCACCAATGGCACCTTTTGGAGGACCAGCACCAGTGACACCCGTTGGAAGACCAGCACCAATGGCACCCGTTGGAGGACCATCACCAATGGCACCCGTTGGAGGACCAGCACAAATGGCAACCGTTGGAGGACCAGCACCAGTGGCACCCGTTGGAGGACCAGCACCAGTGGCACCTGTTGGAGGACCATCCCCAATGGCACCTGTTGGAGGACCAGCACAAGTAGCACCTATTGGAGGACCAGCACCAATGGCACCCGTTGGAGGACCAGCACCAGTGGTACCTGTTGGAGGACCAGCTGTAAGTAAAAATCAAAAAGCTCAAAATAGCATAGGAGGACCTGTCTTTAGTACAAAAACATCTAGGGAATTTGTATTCAAAGCTAGTTCAGGAAAACCTGCACCTGCTGGGTCTTCAAATGTAAATAGAGGACCAGCAAAAGCAGCACCGATTGGAAATTCAGCACCAACTGTAAAAGGATCAGCACCGGCAGCACCTTTAGGAGGACCAGCACCTGTTGGGGGAGCGGTTGTTGCAGAACCAACGCCAAAAGTACCTATTGCAAAACCAGAATCAGTAGTACCCGTTGCAGAACCAAAGCCAGAAGTACCCATTGCAGAACCAACGCCAAAAGTACCGGTTGCAAAACCAGCATCAATAGTACCTGTTACAGAACCAACGCCAAACGTACCTGTTGAAAAACAAGCGCCAGAAGTACCTGCACCTGAAGCAGCTGCTGCACCTTCAACTCAGAACACAATGTGTAGCTGGTCACCTATCTGTGGTAATGATGGTAGCACCTATCTTTCCAATTGTGCTTTACCGAGGTAAGAGTGTTACACAATAATATCTTAGAACTGCTTAGTGTGGCACCAAAATCTTACTTATAGCCTGCGAGTAAAACTCACTTATTTCACTGCAATTTTCCTTTCATTCTGCACTTTATATGTAAATGAATATTATGTTTGAACTTTATACATTTTTTTTGATAAGTGCAAAGATAATTATTTAATGTTGTTAATTAGATTTGCTTGTAATGTTTATGTCGAGAATATACTTTGATAAAAAGTATAAGCTCCACCCTTATCTGTTACAATAAGACTATTGGTGATATCAAGTCAATAAATTATGACAATCAAACAGTGGGGTTCGACATACCGAAAGAAATGACTCATCGGTTTATTCTCTCTTTCACAAGTTTCGTTATATTGCTTTTTAAGATTCTAGTTCTTTTATTGGATTAGGAAATATCTAAATCGTTTTACATGTAACCAAGAAGCTTCTTTTGTGAAGCGGGGGAATTCCACCACCTTCTGATTAGTGTGATTTAAAGTATACAGTGGTGATTTAAATTCTTAAAACAGTAATAAACTGGGCCCGTATGCATAAAGCTACTTAAGTTAAGATTTTCCTTAGTAAACACTTAAGTTAAGGAAACTACGCCCTTTTTACCTAAGAGGTATGCATAAAAAATCTTAAACTAAGTATTTCCTTAGTAAAATCTTAGTTGTTTTAAGTCACGCCCACAAAACTTAAGTGGTATGCATAAAACCCCTTATACTAAGAAAACGCCTAAGATTATACTTAAGTCTAAGGTACCTATAGAGAGTCTCTATAGAGCTACATTTTGTACCTTAAATTTTCAAAAATAGTTAAAAATCAGTCGAAAGTATGCGTTTTTTGCAAAACATTAATAGGTTAGCTACCATTTAATTGATATCAGTAATATTTCGTTTGTTTATTGCTAAATATTAACGATTATTGTAATTTTCTTAAAATCACGTATAATCAACAAATCGAGAGATAACAGAGGGTAGTTATATAACTTCATTCAACCCTTATTTCTCAATCTCGTTGTTGTGTATACCGAAAAGTACTCAGTTTTTACACCCATGGAATTCATGCAATTATTTTTCTTTTGGTTACTCTGTACGTACATGTTTATACAAATAATTTTGAACGTTATATTGTTTAAATACACCGCGTGGTATCAATTGGAACCGTTAGTAAAAACAGTATGAAGGAAGGAAGAGATGAGGATTTTTGGCATGCAAAATTCTGTTTTCTGTGTGTGGTGATGGTGGGTTTTTAGCTCACCTGGCCCGAAGGGCCAAGTGAGCTTTTCTCATCACTTGTCGTCCGTCGTCCGTCGTCCGTCGTCGTCGTCGTCGTCCGTCGTCGTTAGCTTTTTACAAAAATCTTCTCCTCTGAAACCACTTGGCCAAATTTAACCAAACTTGGCCACAATCATCATTAGGGAATCTAGTTTAAAAAATGTGTCCAATGACCCCGCAAACCAACCAAGATGGCCCCCATGGCTAAAAATAGAACATAGGGGGTAAAATGTAGATTTTGGCTTATATCTCTGAAACCAAGGCATTTAGAGTAAATCTGACATAGGGTAAAACTGATTATCAGGTCAAGATCTATCTGCCCTGGAATTTTTTTAGACAAATCTGACAACCTGTTGTTCGGTTGCTGTCCCTGAATTTGTAATTTTAAGGAAATTTGCAGTTTTTGGTTATTATCTTGAATATTATTATAGATAGAGATAAACTGTAAACAGCAATAATGTTCAGCAAAGTAAGATCTACAAATAATTGTCATGAACAAAATTGTCAGTCGACCCCTTTAGGAGTTATTGCCCTTAATAGTCAATTTTTAACAATTTATCGTAAATTTTTGTAATCTTTTACAAAAATCTTCTTCTCTGAAACTACTGAGACAAATTTAAGCATACTTGGCTTTAATCATTATTAGGGTATCTAGTTTAAAAAAAATTTCCGATGACCCCGCCTTCCAACCATCATGGCCGACTTGGTTTGAAATAGAACATAGGGGTAAAATGCAGTTTTTGGTTTATATCTCTGAAACTAAAGCATTTAGAGCAAATCTAACAGGTGGCAAAAATGTTCATCAGATTTAGATTTATCTGCCCTGAAATTTTCAGACGAATCCGACAACCTGTTGTTGGGCTGCTGCCCCTGAGTTAGTAATTTTACAAAAATTTTGCAGTTTTTTGTTATTATCTTAGATATCATCATAATATCTAATATCTAATACTATTAATTATGATTTTAACCTTATATTACATGATTTCCAAAGCATCAGTAAATACAGGTGAGCGACACAGGCTCTTGAGAGCCTCTAGTTTTTTGTTTTTTTTTGGGGGGGGGCATCGGTTGAATTTTCAATTATTTAGATTTATTGTAAAGATGTAGCTAGGGCAAGTTTCCCCTAATTTTGTTTCACTTACTGGGACGAAATTGGAAAGTTTTATGACCTACCCCGTGGAATTCGAAGTTTACATAACGTATTTGTGATACCTAAATCGTATTTAATAATTTTTCATATTTTCTTATATATTCAGTGATATATTGCTGTTACCGAAAATATTGCAAATTTCAAATTTTGCGTAGAGAGAAGACTTTAACCTAAATAAATTATTGTATCCGAAAGAAGACTTAGTAATCACTTCCAATAGATTTGTCCTTCTCGTCATTTTTGGATTATTGATCAAATTTGCCTAAAATCTAGCAAGAATGCATGCAGTTTTGAGTCATCTTTAGACATTGATAACTTTCTAGTGAAATATTTGGAAATACGCTAAGATGTTGATATATAATACCTTTACAGTAAACATATGAATCTAATAATGGGTGTTTTAGTAAAGATTGTAGAACTTTTGAAAAATGCCGTTGTTCTTATATGAATTCACGGAAATTTGATCCTACCCCTTTTTATTGTTCTAAAAGGGAAGTGATAAAAAAGTGTATTACATTTCGAAATAGATTTTTAAAACCCAAAAAAGAAATTGTAAGCAGGGGTCTGGAAAGGGGGACGGCAGCCCACCAGAAGCTGAACTATTACAGTAAAATTCTTATTGAAAACAATTTGTTAACAAAACTATTTGTAAGCATATGCTAACAATGCTACACTGGGCTACATTAATATTAAATCATATCAGAAAGTTACTTTTATATCTAAACTTGAAGTCACAGTTTTGTAGTTTTTGATAACTTCAATGACTCCACATAAATTTCTATAAGTACACGTACAGTTTTTTTATTTTTTTTATTTTCGCATGTTTTTTTTTTTAAGTATAACACCATATGAATCATTTGATAATAGTTTTATTTTACTTTAGTGGTGTAGGAAAAGCATGTGACGGATATTGTCCATGTAAAGCGGCATCTAAATGTGGCTGTGAACAATGGTATAGTCCACTTTGTGGTGTTGATGGCGTTACTTATGATAATGAATGTGAACTCCTTTGTGCGTAAGTATACATTCAAATTATCACTTCTACGGGTGTCACATGTAGAGCAGGATCAGCTAAATCTTCCAGAGCACCTGAGATCACCCCCTTTTTCAAGGTGGGTTTTGTGTTGCTCATTCTGTAGTTTGCTATGTTATGTTTTGTAGATTGTTTTTTTTTTTTATTTATTTTTTTTTTCGCTTTTTGCAATGGTGTTGTCAATTTCTCTTTTATTTTCGCTTTTTGCAATGGTGTTGTCAGTTTCTCTTTTATTTTCGCTATTTGCAATGGTGTTGTCAGTTTCTCTTTTTTTTTCCCTTTTTGCAATGGTGTTGTCAGTTTCTCTTTTATTTTCGTTTTTTGCAATGGTGTTGTCAGTTTCTCTTTTATTTTCGCTTTTTACAATGGTGTTGTTCGTTTCTCGATTATTTTCGCTTTTTGCAATGGTGTTGTCAGTTTCTCTTTTATTTTCCCTGTTTGCAATGGTGTTGTCAGATTCTCTTTTATTTTCGCTTTTTGCAATGGTGTTGTCAGTTTCTCTTTTATTTTCGCTTTTTGCAATGGTGTTGTCAATTTCTCTTTTATTTTCGCTTTTTGCAATGGTGTTGTCAGTTTCTCTTTTATTTTCGTTTTTTGCAATGGTGTTGTCAGTTTCTCTTTTATTTTCGTTTTTTGCAATGGTGTTGTCAGTTTCTCTTTTATTTTCGCTATTTGCAATGGTGTTGTCAGTTTCTCTTTTTTTTTCCCTTTTTGCAATGGTGTTGTCAGTTTCTCTTTTATTTTCGTTTTTTGCAATGGTGTTGTCAGTTTCTCTTTTATTTTCGCTTTTTACAATGGTGTTGTTCGTTTCTCGATTATTTTCGCTTTTTGCAATGGTGTTGTCAGTTTCTCTTTTATTTTCGTTTTTTGCAATGGTGTTGTCAATTTCTCTTTTATTTTCGCTTTTTGCAATGGTGTTGTCAGTTTCTCTTTTATTTTCGCTATTTGCAATGGTGTTGTCAGTTTCTCTTTTTTTTCCCTTTTTGCAATGGTGTTGTCAGTTTCTCTTTTATTTTCGTTTTTTGCAATGGTGTTGTCAGTTTCTCTTTTATTTTCGTTTTTTGCAATGGTGTTGTCAGTTTCTCTTTTATTTTCGTTTTTTGCAATGGTGTTGTCAGTTTCTCTTTTATTTTCGCTTTTTACAATGGTGTTGTTCGTTTCTCGATTATTTTCGCTTTTTGCAATGGTGTTGTCAGTTTCTCTTTTATTTTCGTTTTTTGCAATGGTGTTGTCAGTTTCTCTTTTATTTTCGTTTTTTGCAATGGTGTTGTCAGTTTCTCTTTTATTTTCGCTTTTTACAATGGTGTTGTTCGTTTCTCGATTATTTTCGCTTTTTGCAATGGTGTTGTCAGTTTCTCTTTTATTTTCCCTTTTTGCAATGGTGTTGTCAGTTTCTCTTTTATTTTCGCTTTTTGCAATGGTGTTGTCAGTTTCTCTTTTATTTTCGCTTTTTGCAATGGTGTTGTCAATTTCTCTTTTATTTTCGCTTTTTGCAATGGTGTTGTCAGTTTCTCTTTTATTTTCGTTTTTTGCAATGGTGTTGTCAGTTTCTCTTTTATTTTCGTTTTTTGCAATGGTGTTGTCAGTTTCTCTTTTATTTTCGCTTTTTACAATGGTGTTGTTCGTTTCTCGATTATTTTCGCTTTTTGCAATGGTGTTGTCAGTTTCTCTTTTATTTTCCCTTTTTGCAATGGTGTTGTCAGTTTCTCTTTTATTTTCGCTTTTTGCAATGGTGTTGTTAGTTTCTCGATTATTTTCACTTTTTGTAATGGTGTTGTCAGTTTCTCACTTATTTTTGCTTTTTGAAATGGCGTTTTTAGTTTCTCGATTATTTTTTCGCCGTTTGCAATGGTGTTGTCAGTTTCTCTTTTATTTTCGCCTTTTGCAATGGTGTTGTCAATTTTCTCTTCGACTTATGAGTTGTCAATTTCTCTTCGACTTATGAGTTTGAAATATTCCTTAGGTATCTTCCGCATCTTTGTTATGAACAATAAACATGTATTATCAGAAAATATAAATCATCTAAACGGATTAAGACAAGGTAGTGTGAGCAAAGGTGGCATGGTTTTAGTTTAAACAGTATTTATTAATGAAAAATGATAACAATGAACCAGTACAATTTTACATAAATTTCTAATATGGGATTGGTTTTAGATACTTATAGAAATGTTTCGAGGAAAAGAGTCATAGAAAGTTACGTTTTTAACGTCTATTTTAAAATAATGTCTTTTAAAAGAATAAATATTCAAAATCTTCCTGAATATCTACAATATCAAGCAGACTATATCAGTAAAGAGCATGTTTTCCATTTATATCGTATTTCTAGCGTCTTATAGGCTATTAATTCATAATCAAATATCATCGTTCATTTATCTGATTTTATGTATATGCTTTCAAATTGCACTGTAACTGATATTTTCTTCATGTAAACTGCAGGCAGGTATCGGTGGATTGTGACGGAGTGTGCCCATGTCCAACAAAACCACAGCCTACACAAACGTATATGCCAACATTAGTTCCCCTTCCAACATGTCAGTGTCCAGAATATTATTACCCAGTCTGTGGAGTAGATGGACAAATCTACGATAACGATTGTCTCAGAGATTGCGAGTATGTACTTCACTGTAAATGTTTCATTACACAGAATATCGCAGTAATAGCAATTCCATACAAAATCATCAAAGAGATATTTTGAAAAACACAACATTCATATTTTAAAATTGATATGATAGTAAACAAGTAATTTTGCACTTTGATATTCAATTAGGAATTTAATATAATCACCAAAAAAAAACAAAACGCACCATCTCCATTAATTTATTTTGGATAAAAATCTCTACTGTATAAAACTTTTTAAAAAGTGTTTGAAATGAGTAAAACAATTTTTAAAAATATTTCCGGTGTTCTAAACATCAAATTCTGTGAAAACACATTGTCAAGTTAGAAACGAAAATATGTTGCCAAATATGGGAAAACTTAAGTCGCGTGCATGGTTTTACGTGAAAACAACGAAAAATAACTTTCTTTGTGGTTAGTTGCGTAATCGTTTACTGATCTTATGACCAATTTAAAATTGACTAACTTTTTAGTTTTGACGTTTACTTACATGTAAATCCCCATCACACCATCACCAGTAAAACGATTTATGTTTCTGTAAACCGTTGATTGTTTTTAAGGTTATGCTTAAACTATTCTAGAGGTCTGCAATCTTTTGTAACCATAAGAAATTGTGAAAATGCTATATATGGGAAGAAATGGTTCGTCATTTATATTCCTGAGTCTATTTACAATAAAAACAAATCTAATTCAACATAGATAAAATAAGGGGACAGTGTAGTTTACTGTTCAAATCTCAAAAATGGATTAGGAATACAAATCAATGTAACAAACACAAATTGAGGTCATGTTTAAAATGCTTGATACGTTTCAAAACGTAAATTAGGTTATGATAAAAGTAAACAATATAAGATCTATCTTATTTGTGCATACTATACTTCAGAGGCGTTGCTAAAGACTGTGATGGCACCACCTGTCCATGCGGCGATAACAATTCACAGATCATGGAAGTTAGTGGATGTGGTTGTAGTAATAACTGGGACCCTGTTTGTAGTCAAGACGGTCATACATATAGGAACTTGTGCTTAGCTAAATGCAGGTATGTTTCGGATAAACATTGATAAATCGATAGTGTTTCGTTTCGTATAAAAATAATTATTTTAAGTTTTCTTCTTTCACAATGATGACCACTCAGTAAGCCTCTATATAAAAATACATTTCATAAAGATAAGTGATATGTACGGTAACTGCCTATCTAAGCCATTTATTGTTGCAGATTTCTAGACGAAAAATAAACAAATGTGTTATTACTCAAGGCATTTTATGAAAAAAATTAGGTCAAAAGATCGAATTCTTTCTCTTTTCGTTGCTACGTTAACACAAAGACGTCTTTCTTTATGCTCTGTGGTTGTCTTAAATTTTGCTTCTAGTTGTAAGTCGTATATTTAATTGATGTTATACACCAGGCTTTTTGCGATTTATTTAGGTTCCATCATAATATGTTCCTTAAATAACTTTTCGATCGATATAAAAGAGTACCATTTGAATCGACACTATTGGAATTTTTTATCTTGCTATAAGATGTAAACTGTATAGTTCATCGTTTAGGACCTTCCTGCAATTGTCAAGATGATGGAAAAAGACAAGTTTAAACTGGTTTCTTTGATGTATTGGATATTTGTTATTGAGATATTTGTTTAATGTGATCCACCCCATGTCCTTTTATTTTACCACATGACATTAACTATACCAAAAAGATCAACAAACACCGAGTAAGAATTCCCAATTTAAGATGACATCAAATTTAATTCAAGAATATATATAATAATTAGCTTTAAAGTATATTGCCAGCGACAATGGTCACATTCCAAAGATTTTTTACTTTCGTTCACCAATTTGACCTTCACCTCATTTTACTTATTATTTGCCATTTTTTACCGCATGGTAGTTTGATATGCTTACCTTTCTTGATAAACGTGTTACCACGTCTGGTATTGACAGTTTGTAGAGTATTATGTTTTTGCTGTTCGTTTAGGTCTAATTTTATTTGTCCATCATCAGTCTCGTTTCTGTATTGTTTTCTGAATTTTCAATTTCCCTTTTGACATAGCTACATGTATATAACTGTATCTTTTTTCTCTTTTTTTATTCCACAATCCTATAGCAGCAGCCATATTATAAAGACAATATAAGCAATACTGTGAACATGTAATTCACCCAACAACATGTTTTCGATACATTGCTATTGAAAAACTTTGAAATGAACAACATTTTAGAATTTTCAAACATGTTTAAGATTTTATCTGAAGGTCACACAAATTTCTTGTACTTATAGAAACTGTTATTGATACTGGCATAAGCCATCATCGTTGTCGTCATCATTAACAAGACATACTTAATCATCACAAAACATACGTCAACATCACAAAAAAATTATCTTTTATTCCTTTTATAGTATTAGATTTAATAAAAAAAAAAATCTTTGTATGCAAGCTACTGTTGTTTTCTTTTCATATTTATTATGAAGTTGACTTCATAAGAAATAAAAATAATCTTTGTAAATTTGATGCGGCTGTCAACAGAACGTTTTACTTTTGTCCTTTCTATTTTACATAAATTGAGCAAATACTATATGTTTAATTTAAACTACTATATGAATAATATATCACGACATAAAACTTAAAAATATACATTAGTTGAATCACCTAACAAGAGTTTTTACGAATTTTTTTTATAAAAAAAACCAAAAAACCACACACAATATGAATAATAAATTGTTTGTTGTTTACTATTGTTTTAAAGATTTTTTATTTGAAAGAATTGACTTTAATTTGATTAACCTTTTTCTTTTCAGTGGAATAAGTGAACCAGATCTTGCTTGCTCATCCGGCTGCCCATGTTAAAATGAAGAGAGACAATCATAAAAAAAACTTTTTGTCGTTTTTTTCCAGGTCCCAACATTTTGATCATTACCATAATGTGTTACGAACAGTTATAGATTGTGCATTGATCAGCGTTCACAAAATCCTATGTTTTTTGTACTTGATTAAAGAGCGGAAGATTGAATTTGTTCAGACTTCATTGTTGAAATACTATCAAATGTGGCGATTTGAATCGAGTATCATCTACCTTCCAAGTATCAGTACTCCCTAAAAGATATATGGAATGAACATTGAGTTCTGGTCATTTAATTTAAACTAACATATTGAGTGTTGAATTTTAATAAGTGGACGCGATATACCAGAGCTTGTTTCCTACCAGGGTTTACTTTGCTTAACACATTATTGCCTCTAAAATAAACAGCTACTGAACAAAAGGTTCAGAATAGACAGATTCTATTCAAACTTTGTACAGCCGTCATCATGGCATTGACTTAAATGAATTCCGGTTTTCAATTAGTTCCTATTTCTTAATTTTTTATGTCTTTTTTTGTTTGGTCGTATACCTGACGTTCCGGCTTCTAAATTGTATCTTTTTCGTTGCTGTTCCCTACATTCCTGTTATATTCCCGTTTTAATGCATTTGGTTCGTTTGTTGTTATTTTAAGTACACGAATCGAATGATTACAACAATATTTATTATAAACAAAACGACTTTTTCCTTCTTATTTTAATTTGCCTTTCCTTCATGATGATGTTCCGCTGGTTCTTTCCTATGGAGAATATTCCCCAGGTGGTTTGACATGATGATGTTCCGCTGGTTTCTTTCCTATGGAGAATATTCCCCAGGTGGTTTGACATGATGATGTTCCGCTGGTTCTTTCTTATGAGAATATTCCCCAGGTGGTTTGACATGATGATGATGTTCCGCTGGTTTCTTTCCTATGCAGAATATTCCCCAGGTGGTTTGACATGATGATGTTCCGCTGGTTCTTTCTTATGAGAATATTCCCCAGGTGGTTTGACATGATGATGTTCCGCTGGTTTCTTTCCTATGGAGAATATTCCCCAGGTGGTTTGACATGATGATGTTCCGCTGGTTCTTTTTTATGAGAATATTCCTCAGGTGGTTTGACATGATGATGTTCCGCTGGTTTCTTTCCTATGGAGAATATTCCCCAGGTGGTTTGATATGATGATGTTCCGCTGGTTCTTTCCTATGGAGAATATTCCCCAGGTGGTTTGACATGATGATGTTCCGCTGGTTCTTTCTTATGAGAATATTCCCCAGGTGGTTTGATATGATGATGTTCCGTTGGTTCCTTCTTATGGAGAATATTCCCCAGGTGGTTTGACATGATGATGTTCCTCTGGTTCTTTCTTATGAGAATATTCCCCAGGTGGTTTGACATGATGATGATGTTCCGCTGGTTTCTTTCCTATGGAGAATATTCCCCAGGTGGTTTGACATGATGATGTTCCGCTGGTTTCTTTCCTATGGAGAATATTCCCCAGGTGGTTTGACATGATGATGTTCCGCTGGTTCTTTCTTATGAGAATATTCCCCAGGTGGTTTGACATGATGATGATGTTCCGCTGGTTTCTTTCCTATGGAGAATATTCCCCAGGTGGTTTGACATGATGATGTTCCGTTGGTTCTTTCTTATGAGAATATTCCCCAGGTGGTTTGACATGATGATGTTCCGCTGGTTTCTTTCCTATGGAGAATATACCCCAGGTGGTTTGACATGATGATGTTCCGCTGGTTCTTTTTTATGAGAATATTCCTCAGGTGGTTTGACATGATGATGTTCCGCTGGTTTCTTTCCTATGGAGAATATTCCCCAGGTGGTTTGATATGATGATGTTCCGCTGGTTCTTTCCTATGGAGAATATTCCCCAGGTGGTTTGACATGATGATGTTCCGCTGGTTCTTTCTTATGAGAATATTCCCCAGGTGGTTTGATATGATGATGTTCCGTTGGTTCCTTCTTATGGAGAATATTCCCCAGGTGGTTTGACATGATGATGTTCCTCTGGTTCTTTCTTATGAGAATATTCCCCAGGTGGTTTGATATGATGATGTTCCGCTGGTTCTTTCTTATGAGAATATTCCCCAGGTGGTTTTATATGATGATGTTCCGCTGGTTCTTTCTTATGAGAATATTCCCCAGGTGGTTTGATATGATGATGTTCCGCTGGTTCTTTCTTATGAGAATATTCCCCAGGTGGTTTGACATGATGATGTTCCGCTGGTTCTTTCTTATAGAGAATATTCCCCAGGTGGTTTGATATGATTATGTTCCGCTTGTTCTTTCTTATAGAGAATATTCCCCAGTTGGTTTGACATGATGATGTTCCGCTGGTTCCTTCTTATGGAAAATATTCCCCAGGTGGTTTGATATGCATGTTTGTAGTGAAGTCTCAAATTTCAATGAACATAATATCATTTCATTACAAAAAAGATTTTACAACATGGATACTAATAATATAAATTGGTTAAATCAATAAACAAATTGTATTACTAATATATGGATTCATTGTGGACGTATCATTCCACCTGCAAGAATTTCATATAAAGAAGCTATTGAACACCTAGAAATTTATGGTTTTATTCATTTAAATCATACAAGCTTATGAATTATCATTCAAATACTTATTAAGTTTAAAAGTTTAGTATTGTAGTTCAAATCATGTGTATGATAGGTGTGAGATTAACTTCAATTCGAAAATTTATAGTTTGAAACAAGACAAATAGTCTTTTTCCTCTTTTCCATTTCACATTTTTTACAATATAAAAATAAGGAGATGAGGTATGATTGCCAATAAGACAACTATCCACCAAAGTTCAAATAAAGTGGATGTAAGCAAGTCCACTATGACATTGATCAAAATCTTTACACTTGCTTTCAGTAAGAGTGAGCGCTTGTTGCTGCTGAATCATTTATTACGGTTTCTATTTGTACCTGAGTTTTGTTGTCTATTAAACCCATGTTTAACTGATTTTTATTGTATGTACCTATTGTTATTATTCTAATCGAGATTGAAAGGGAGAGGGATGGTATAAAAAACATATATTTTACCTACCACATGTTAAATAGTTTCTCATTAAGTCAGGACTGTTTTCAGTCATAATTTTTATGTATATCTTAAGGTTTTTTGGAATTCGATATTGATGGTAGATCTTTGATTGGCTCTTCTAAATTAATTTCCAGATCATCTCGACTTCGGGGGATCTAAATCTTAGCATATTGTATATATAGACATTTATCTTTGTTGAAGCTCTAGAGATATTTTTTTTTTTTTTGTGTCGTCTCATTGGCATATACCCCCCCTTATGTGTGCTTTTATACACATTTGTTCGGTTGTCTTAGTCTGTCCATCATTTACCCTTTTGTCATATCATCACCTTTGAGTAACAATATTATACAGCAGGTGCAGCAGGAACTGCCAACCCTTGCAGAGCATATGAACACAGTCTTAATTTTCTATGTAATGAATAATTTTGTTTGCATTGTTGTATGTTTTGGTGTCAGCATATTATTGTTCGCTATTCTGATTGCATCTTGGGTAAATCTTACTCTATCTCTTTCTTAAAAAAATTGTAATGTGTCAAGCTTTAGCTATTACGCCAGATTGCCATATTTTAACCATGTCAAATTCAGGGAAAATGTAGTGGCAGAGATAAGCTTTGACTTATTTCAGAAAGTTTTTCTCCAAGCCAATTGATTTCCACAGGGCTCATGAGTATTTGAGCAATGTGTACTCTTTATTCAATCTGTACTGCCGAATACACGCATACTGTGAAAGTACTTTTTATTCGTGGTTATCAATTGGTTTGAGCAAAAGTTACATGTTCGTGGGTTTTTAAATTCGTGTATTTTAGTTTTCTGAAAAAAGTGAAGAATTTGAAGCCATTGAAAGATTAGACATCCTAATGGTGCTGTACACCATCGAAGATTCAAGAATGACAGCAGTTACAGACTTACTTCAATATTTTTAAGAAATGTGTTTCGGTCCGACATATAAAAACTTCGATTGTGTGACCTCTACCCCAATTAAATAATCTTATTAATGGGAACTTCCCCCAACCTGTGAAGTGATATTCTTTCGTGATTGATGCCTTCCTGATCCCTTCTCCCACAAAAAAAAGACTCCTGTTCCTCAGCTGATTATTATTATTATCTGTTCCTTAAACATATATTATGATGCAAAATAAAATCAAGATATTGGAACTGAAACCTATCGGTGTCAACAGCTTTTTCTCTGGAAAATGTCAGTTCTACAGTCGCTCGTCATTTGTCCTATTCGTCTTGAATTCTCTGGGTTTTGTTGGACCTTTAAGAACATAATATTGGACTTTGGTGAACGTTGTTTTTCCTTTAAAAAAGTTGTAGTTTTGACGTTGGTATATGCATTTTTTTTATAATTCCGAACGAATATAAGCACATTCACCTCTTTAAATGTAAACAAAAAGGACCGTTTTATAAGAGCCTAATTTGGCCCGTACAATTCTACTTAAAAGTTAATTCTGAAATACACACTTATGAGAAGTTCTAAAAAATAGATATAACCAGACTCATCCCAGCGAACAATATGGTGTACTAGGCCAGCGAACAATAACAAAAAATGGCCAAACTGATCATTCCTAAAAACCGACGAATTTCAAAAGGCCATGTTAAGAACATTTACGGTATAGTGGGTGAATTCACGAAAGGTCTATATCATAGGTCCAAAGTTGTGGCCTGGCAAATTATATAGGCAATAGTATTGGATTTCAGGGGCAAAGAGCCCCGGTGGGTAAATGTATTGTAGGTCAACAGAGAAAACTCTCTCAACTTTAATTCGTAAAATACTAGTAGTCCATACAACAAAACTTCAAATATAAAAGGTATATCCTGTGTTACATGTTAAGCCTTCAAAAAAATAAATGCAAGAATGGATTGCTACTGATGATTAATCGATGCTAAATTTTTACGGGCTTGCCACTATAAAAGGGGAGTGATGGGTAATGTCAAATTTCACTAACTATGACTTTCCAATGTGAGAAAATAGGGTTAATAGTCCAAGGTAAGTAAATCATAGAAGGCCTACACTAGAGGTCGAAAATTCGGATCTGCATGTCGAGACTATCCTTTTGCAACTTTCATTCGTAAAACAATTTCTACGACGAAGCTTTTGGTCTCA